ATAGAGATGGTGTAGCATTAAGGTGTTATAAAAATAGGTGTATTAACTATAGTAAATCTATTTCTATTCGAACTGAGTTGATATTTTCAAATTTTAATGTATTTCTGAGTAGCATACTACAGATATATTTTAAATAGTTTAACAACCAAATTCAAGTACAGATAAGGTCAGAGGTGAACGTGGGAAGAAAGACAATTATATAAACATTCTATCTTCTTTAAAAACAGTGTTTGATACATTCCACTAAAAACCCACTTCACCTCGGAGATAATGGAATGGTTGTGCAAATAGATGAAAGTCTATCTAGAGACAAACAAAAATAGTATCATGGCATACAGCAAGAAAGAGAGATATATGTAATTATTTTGGTAGATATATCATTCACTTCAGCTAAAACTCGTTGCATGTCTTACCTAATAGAACAAGCCCTACACTTTTATCAGTAATTGAAGTATTTTGTTTGATTGAGAGTGTAATACATTTTGATGAATAGCGTACTCTTGCATGCATTGGTAACAATAATTTGTGATTTTTGCATTTCACTGTTAATTACAGTGAATCTTTGTGAACCACCATACTGTTGTACATACATAAAAAATTTAATGTGCATAGAATAAATACAATTTTGTTCTAAAAATTAAAAAATGTATTGTGGCATCAAAGATAAATTTTTTACTAAAGGAATTAATATTGAAGAATAATATATATTTTAATAATAACTTTAATGTTTTATTAGATCTATTATGATTTTAATAAATTTAGTTTTTTATTTGTTTATTTTTCTGGGGAAAAAAGGGACTTGTTATTGTTTTAAGGAAAAAGATGGACTTGATTTAATTCTTTTTTTTAATATAAACATATATTTAACAAAAATTTTTATTTTAATAAATGTTAATTAGGAAGAATAAACTAATTTAGTATTTTTGTTTTAAATAAATTATTGAAGTTTTATGTAATTTATTTAAAAAATTGTTTATTAGATATTAACAAGTATATTTTATTTATTAAAGTATTTGATTATTTGATTTAATCAAATAAACTTTTCTGTTTGATTTACTTGTTTGTTAAATAATTATGTTTTCAAAACAAATTATTTTTTTATATAATATATCAGATAAAATCTATCTAGTTAACAAGTTTTAATGTTGAATTGGATTGTATTTTATTATAATTAAAGGATCAAAGATAATTTAAAAGATTTTGAGAAATTAACTTTCAGAAACTTATAAAAGTGATAAAGAGAAAGTAGAAAGAAATAAAAGCAATGTATTAGAGTTACTAACATTAATCAATTTATTTATAAATTTTTCATCACTATGAAAATAACAAATCATTAATAAAGTTATTCTTTGATAACAAAGTAAAATAATTTCAATTTAATTAAATAATAATTTAAAATGAGATATGAAAAAATAATTGATTTGTTATTTCCAAATTTATTAAATTTTAAATAAACATTCTTTTATTAAATTTATTTTAGATGATAAAAAAGAAGATAATTGATAAAATATATCAAAACTTATGAGTCAACATCAGAATATCCTTCTCTGTATAATTAATTTTGATAATGTAATTTTTTTCATAAAATAATCACCCTTTTTTGATAACAAACTCAAAATCTTATCTTTAAGATATTACGATATTTTGAATAAACTATCTAAATTTTCTAATTTAATCATTAATCAAATTTATGAGTAACAAAAAATGAAAATAAAAATAACAAATTTTTTTAACCCTTATGAGCTACGGATTTACGAAACAAGATAATAATCTCATAAATTCAAATAATAAAGAGAGATTAGACCAACAATCTAATAATCAACCAGTTGATAGACATTTACAGGGTGGAAATCAGCCACATCCCTCAAATTATGGGAATCAACCATCTAGTCAACACCATCCTCAATTTAATAAT